CCCCCCCGTGGAAGAGCAGTTTTCTACATTTTGCAGAGGTAAGTATAACAGAGGGACAGCTGGAGGGTCCAGGTAACCTCTGGAGACGCTCCAAACCGGGACCATTTAGAAATGTTAGCGCAAGGTGTTTTCTCCTCAGAACCCAACCCAACAATGTTCCACACAAGAAGAACAGAGTATACACACATTAAGATGAAGGAGGGTTAAATGTCTTGGTAATGGGATCTGCAAGAAATCCTTTAGAAATCCTCCGATGTGATCTCATTCGGAGATTTCAGGGCATATTTCCACATAGTTTACAATGTCTAACAATCCTGAATGTAATTGTTGTGTACACATCTGTATTTTCCTTCTACTGTTGTGCTGTCTGTCATTTTCTTTGTATCATTTATTTATTTTTGGGATTTATTCACTTTTTATTTTTTTATTTCTTGACCTTTATTTATTTTATTTTATTACATATGTGGAGAATGAATTCTGTGTTTGTTATAAGTGAAAGAAGGGGGTATGCAGTATATTGGAATGATGATCCTTCTTGATTGTGTTTGGTCAGAAGAATTTCATTGCCATTTCTACACTGTAGCTTGATGACAATAACACCTTTGAATTGGAATTGAATTTCTCAGCAATGAATGTGTAAACAAAACAATATCAAAAGGAAAAGATACGTGTGCCCACAGGTGGAACGCTATAAAAAAATGTTTTCAGGTGCGGAGGTTGAGCTCAAATGAAGGAGCTGAACGCAGATTTAAAATCGACTCCCACACACTATGTGAAGTTAGTCCATGAAAATGTCGGCCTCTGGGAAGGAAAGAGTGTGTGACAGGATGGGGATCAGCTGCGTTAGTCTTCAGGTCTTTCTCCGTCACCCCCTCCCCCCCCCTTTTATATCTCCTTCTGGTCGGAAACAAGAGAGCGAGCGGCTGTCTTATCGCTGATTGGATTGGATTTTTGGAGGAACACAATTTAGCGGCGGATCGAAGCAGGTATCTGAAGCACCTGCGGGTGAAGCCAAACTGATGTCTGCACACATAACTGAGGCTTGAAAACTCGAGGGGCCAAATCAGCAATTGGTTCTGCATCACATGTCAGTAATGGGCTGTCTAAACTCCAATTCAGTAGACCTGCTTTCAACAAAAGGCTCTTTTTATTGTGACTTTAGCCACAGCTATTTCTTCCCTCCTCACCTCCTCTGCTTTAAGGTTATAGCGTGAGATTTGACATCAAATCAAATCCCATTTTTTTGTAACTATTCATGATCTGCCATTCATTCTCTTCACAGGAAAACAACCTCTCTATTTTGTATTGGTTATGGTGGAGTCCACCTTTTGGAAGATTCCTATAAGTACTAAGTGAGCACACATTATAGAATTAATGCCAGAAATAATAATAATCCACCAAAGTCCTACTTTCTGTCCACGTATTTCTTATCCTAACCTTTTAGGCTCTTAACCTTTTTTTTATATTACCATAGTTTATTCAATATGCTCCTTAGATAACTTTTTAATTCTATTTGTTATATTATCGTCTCCTCATAGCATTGTGAAGCACCTTGACATGACGTTGTTTTTAAAGTGTGCTCTATAAATGAAATGTATTATTATTATTATTACTATGTTAGAACCTCTTTCCTTCCTTTATAAGGCTATAAATATGTTTTGTGTGTACTCGAGGCAACATGTGTTGAGTTGAAGAAGGTCACATTGCTCGTGAGAATCTGACATTGTGTAGACGAAGGAGAGTTCTGTATTATTTTACAATGGAGACGATGTTTTCTGCTCAGATTCCATATCGCCTTCGCCACCAACACTGTCCGAATAATTTGATAGCAGGTTTTCTATTTCTGGTTGCCGTCTGACTCCAGTGTCATGCCCCTC